GGGGGGGTGTGTTTAAAATCTCTTTTAGTTTAGGCATTTGCTGTTAGAAACTAGCAAGACTTTCCGCATTAATCTCTTCTATCACCCAAAAAAAGCCAAGACTAATTCGGATTGGATGGACCCATGTTTATCCTAGCACACGTCCACACCCCCTTTGTTGTAATAAAAATCATCTTTACAGTGATTGTTTATAGTACATGTAGAAATATAAGATTTTTTGTCAAATAATCAGCCTTGACACGAGCTAACGCGCAAGGGGAAAGATAAACATTATTATCGTAAGCAGAAAGTATTTCTTTAACAAGAAACACTAAATGTGAACCAAGAAAATAACTCTTTTTTTGTTTTCGCAAAAACATACAAAAATTAACAAATTCTTCTTGCGAATAATTCATGTTATTTTTACTTTCGCAAAGAAAAGTTCCAAAGGAATATTAGTCGAATGGCTTATGTCCTAGTTATCCAAATATACCTAAATTACCATTTCCTGAAGGATTATATATTTAATCTTACCACAAAAAGAATATCTAACTAAGATATGATAAGAAAATCATCTCCTTTATTATTATTATTATTATTATTATTATTATTACTATTACTATTATTATTATTATTATTACTTTTTAAAATAATCCATCATTTTTTGACTTTTTAATTTAATTATTCTCATTTTAAAATAACTTTTAACTTCTGTCCTCAAAATAAATATTCAAAATGCTAGGTCGAGTAAAAGCATATTTCCAAAGATAAATGGATCACAAAAAATGTTAAATTTCCAATCTCCACAGGATTCAGAAGGGACAGAACATAATGGGAAAACAAAATGTACCCAATGTATTGCAGTGTCAATCAAAATACTGTGATCTCAATATTTGTTTTCACTGGCATAGGGAATAAATACAATCTCATTACAGAACAAAAAGAGAAAGGGAGATAATTCATCAGATTAAGCCTAATCCTTCAGATCACATGGATTTGGATTTCTACATCTTCAAACTGCAGAGTGCAGACTATTTGTGTGTAAGAATTTAATATTTGCTAAGGCCCAACCTTTCTAATTCGTTATCCAAAAATCTTCGAATATTGTGTTTAGCATCTCACAGTCCAGGATATCCGACCCCCTAGATATTGATGTGTGTGGGAGACTGAAACATGCGATCTGTCCAATAAACATGAAAGGAAAGAATTACAGACAAAATATTTCCATCAAGATATACAAGTAGAATATTAAAGCAGAATCGGTTGTTCCAGCTTTTCCATGACAAAGACATCATGGTGTGCCTCAAGGTACAGTCTGATGTAGTCATGCTTAATGTTTCACTGTTCTAAATAACCCCATCTATCTGCCTGCCCGCACCATCTGTGTATACTGTTCAATGCAGGAGGATCATAACTAAAACAACAACAACAAACCTAGTATAATCCCATAAGTGGGGTCCAGGGAGGGTAGTGTGTACGCAGACCTTACCTCTATCTGGAAGGTAGAGAGGTTGTTTCCGATTCCGATAGACCCTCGGCTCAAGGAAAGATGAAAATAAAGCAGTAGCACAAGCATTAACAACAAGATAATACAACTGATATGCAAAAGAAACACTCTCGATTACCTACTGGCCTTCTACCTTATTTCTCGACTACCAGTATGATCATAACTGAGACCAGAAAAAACATTCTAATCTGCTCAACATATGCATAAACATGCCTAACACTAAATATTCCACCATGTCTTCATTTTTTTCGTTCCCTTAATGTTGGTTTTGTGGAGGCATTATTGTTCTATTGGCTTGCTGATCGGGAGTAGGCTAGATAGCCCTAAAAATCCATTTAGTCATTATACAAAAGCAAACAACAAAGCTTTACCTTCAACTCAATTGGAATACATAGAGTTGTAGCATAGAACTTCATTTGTCAGGATGTGCTCTTTTAGCCCTACGACGTGTGTGGCTTTTATGATGGTGTCTATGAGAATGCTTCTTTGGCTTCTTACTGCAGAAATGCATAGGACAATCACCAAAAGTTCAATCACAGCAAAGTATCAACTAATTGGAAAAAATGTTAAAAGCTACTTTAAATTAAAATAAAGATTTTCATGGTTAGCCAAAGTCAAAGTCATGAAAACTAACCGCATAAAATCTGACGCCAAATTAAGAAGAAAGATCACAGGTAAGGCCAGCAAAGCTGCGGCCTGGAATAAATAGAAAAATGAAAATAAAAATTAAAATGTTAAGCCAAGACGTCAAAAGAACAAAACATAATCCACCCTTACTCAATATATTCTGTTGAAAGCGAAATTATTAACATATAGCACTGCATACCAGATACCAAGCCAACTCCTTTGTAGCATATGGCTTGGTGATGTCGTGATTCTTCAGCAAGTGATGTATGTTTTCTTGAGCCTTCATAACCAAAAGCAATAGTGATTCATGTAAGCCGATCGCGATCATCCTTTTAAGTCTAAAAATAACTATTTTCCAGCATCCCCAAAAAAACACAATCAACAAAAAATAAATGACATACTGAAGGTGGATTTTACCAACACATTATGGAAAAAAGTTATTATTTGATTTGAAAAAACAAAAAGCATGCCCTTGAATGCTCCTTTCCTTAATTGAAACTTGGGAGCCGGCTTAATATAAATATTAGCCAAGCTCCCATCATTCCCTTTCTTTCCATTTCCATTCTATTAATATTTGTTCGCGGACCACAATTTTGTTTGGGACTGAGGCATAGTTGTTAATTATTCTATTAATTTTTGTTAACCAATTAAGTTCACATGCGACGAACACTGGTGTAATATATGCTCTAAGTCAGAGACTCATATGAAGAAAAAGCAGATAAACACAAGAAGTAACCTTACATCTAAAGCCTGAATTGGTGGAAAAAGAAAACAAGGTCTTTAGATGATTGCATATTCATTAGAATACTAGTTATGATTCTGGTATCTTCCAGACATGGCCCAATGCAAAAGTCCTTCATTATAACCAACTTATCTCTATGAGACATTATTGTCAAAGCTTTATGGGGAAGATCACAGGTCTCTTCACCCCACCCCCCATGACCTAGTTTTTTTGACAAATAGAACCGCAGCATGAAGTTAGAGAACACGGGTGGATGTGTGTGGGTATATGATATGGATATGTATATGTCCTTACCAACAAATGTGATGTCTACTAAGCAAGAATATACCAGTTTCTCTAACTGAAACCAAAATGAGAAATCATGTTAAACAAGAAAAGGATGCCTCTAATATAGGTTCCATATTGAACTATACAACATAAAAGGTTCAACATTCTTGCCAAACTAGGTTTGACTTATAACGACCGACTCAGATTACGACAAACATTGGTTTTCATTCTAATATATTTTCTGTTACACCATTATTCTGCAAATTATTTCACTATGTTTGACCCAATTCCCAACATTTTTATTCTCTCCCTCCTTCCATCTTGACAATTAATTTGTCCAACAACTTCATCCTCTCACCTTCCTCCAGACAACATGAACTCCACAAGGAAAAATCATGATTTTCCTGTTCACAGTGTTGAGGTAATAATTACTGTAAGTTTGCATTAGTAAGCACTAATCAGACATTCGAGCAGGAACCATTCTAGATCTTAAGTGATTAGGAAAGCAAATCAAGGGTGGCACATCACAGCAAAGCAGCACCAACAGGATACTGAGGTAGGGAAAACGGAGGAGAGAGAGACATCATGCCTGGCGGTGATATAAACTGACGGTTTTCTTGACCTTCCTATAATGGCGATGCACTTTCTTCCCATAAGGTTGCAAGACAATCCTTGCGTTTTCAATATGAGGTTTCATCACCAGTGAAACTTGGTCAACATAAGGGCCTGTGAACTTCCTAGCTTCCTGCCAAATTAGTAGGTCGATATGAATAAATCAGGCAGAACATAATCCTTTTTTCTTTTGACAAGGAGGCAGACCATAATCATTGAAGTAAGATGGTAAAGACAAAACAAATATACCTCAACATAGGGCTGGATGACCTCCTGTGCTTTCACAATATGAGGTTCCACAAACGTCTTGGATGTATGATAAAGGTTAATTGTCTTAGTCTTAAGCTTCTGTAAATGAGGTCCGGCATCATGAGCAAATTCCACTGACCGCTCTTTCATAGCAGGGATCCATTTCTTCAAATGAAACAACAGAGTATCAGGGAATATAGCGAAGAAAAGCATAGTATACATGTTATTTCAACATTGGAAACAAACAACCAACAATACAGATTATCATCTCCCAAACCTATGTGAATATGTCATTAAGCATAGAGGATCGATGCAAAGAGCTAAGCAAATAGAGGCAAGACATTAAGAAGGCGGAGTCAAGGTGAATGCAGCCACAAAATAGATAACAGAACTAACGATGGACTATCAAAGCAGAAATGCTTCCTTTGGTGAAAAAGAGGAACTCAAAGGGAACACTCACTGTTCTAAATGAGTGAATATGAGGCTCCACCAACTTTACCACTTCAGATTTGGTTTCCAGGGCCTGAAGAAATCATTGTTAAAAAGATTGACATCTATAATGCGGAAGAGATAGATATCAAGAATACCATAAAGAACAACAGGTAATTGACCTAAATGAACTAATTAATTAGAAGCAGAACAAGACCTTTTCTATGGTCCGATCCAAAGCTGGTCTTCCTTGCTCATTCCAGTAAGTCGTAACAATTGACTGCACAATCAGGATAAGTCAAGGAAAAAGGATAAAAAGAGAGACTCCTTTATAATATGCAAAAATAATTAATCACCTGAAAGAGTACAAGATGAACAACAAGCCAAGGTGGAAGCCATCCTTCATTAACCTGGTCGCACAACAATAGTACACCAAATCAAATTCCAAATAGTAGAGGATATGTGATACAGTGAATAATTCATTGTTTTTCCACTGTGTCATCACACTGTAGTTTTATTAAGTTCCCATCAACTTTTGCTTGTTGTAAAATATCGAATCCCATCCTAATTGACCCAATAGGAAATAGTATCACCAGAAACGAAAAAGAACAAAGAAAAAGAAAGAGGAAATACAGAGAAGGAAAAGAAGTAAGAGTAAAGAAGCGGAAAGCACTAAAATATGATACTCAAGGTAGATTTTGATAATTAATGTCGTCACCCAAATTTTAAGTGGAAGGTTGTGCCGACCAGGGAATTAGGAACTTCCGAAAGAAAATGGAACAAGAAAAGAGAGAATAAGAACATCATTGCAGAAGAAACACATCATTAGGGATCAATATCCCTAGATATATAACCTGTTGTTCTTTATGGTATTCTTGATATCTATCTCTTCCGCATTATAGATGTCAATCTTTTTAACAATGATTTCTTCAGGCCCTGGAAACCAAATCTGAAGTGGTAAAGTTGGTGGAGCCTCATATTCACTCATTTAGAACAGTGAGTGTTCCCTTTGAGTTCCTCTTTTTCACCAAAGGAAGCATTTCTGTGATACAGTAGAGGATATTGATCCCAACAATAGTACACCAAATCAAATTCCAAATAGTAGAGGATATGTGATACAGTGAATAATTCATTGTTTTTCCACTGTGTCATCACACTGTAGTTTTATTAAGTTCCCATCAACTTTTGCTTGTTGTAAAATATCGAATCCCATCCTAATTGACCCAATAGGAAATAGTATCACCAGAAACGAAAAAGAACAAAGAAAAAGAAAGAGGAAATACAGAGAAGGAAAAGAAGTAAGAGTAAAGAAGCGGAAAGCACTAAAATATGATACTCAAGGTAGATTTTGATAATTAATGTCGTCACCCAAATTTTAAGTGGAAGGTTGTGCCGACCAGGGAATTAGGAACTTCCGAAAGAAAATGGAACAAGAAAAGAGAGAATAAGAACATCATTGCAGAAGAAACACATCATTAGGGATCAATATCCCTAGATATAAGTTTCACTTCAAGTTAAGAAATCGATGAAGATATTAATAACAATAACAGCCAAACACAAGTACAAGTCAAAAAAAGAAACGGATAATTTCCAAAGTACTGGTTCTACCTCCTCAAGCTTCTTCGAAACAGAAGAAGCCTCCAATTTGACCTTCATCATTTCTTCCTGAAGTCACCTTAGTATTAGTACTCTCAGCTAATAAATATTTCGTATCCTCTAAGAAATTAAGTAATGAGAACCTCTGCCACTTGAAGAGCGCGTTTGGTTTTACGGATTCTAGCATTCTGCTCCTCATTTATCCTTTGTAGCTAAAACCAGATATGAACAAAATAAAAAGTGATGTCAATTCCTCGGGAAGTGACTGCATAAAAGGATGATATTTGAAAAGCTCTCCAAACACTACTTAATCAACGTAAGCATCAACCGAACAAAGAAACTAGAATGATGAAATCCCTTGATCCTTAATATGCATTCACGAAAACAGTGCATACCCTTTCAAGTTTAAGATTCAGTTCCTGTATTTTCTCCTCTGCTACATTTGTACTGGTCTCCAGCGTATCTTTCTTCTTGTTTTGTGCTTCTATATCCCTTCTAAGAACATCTATCTGCACATCAGCAGAATATTAAGGAATGCAGCACAATATTAGTACAAAGAAACCAGCCTAACCATAACTAACCTGGCGCTCAAGTTCAGTGGCGCGCACATTAGCCTTAGCAACCAGCTCGTTTGCATTCAAAGATCCTTTTTCCTAGCAAAGATGTGTATATATCAAGTTAATGAGGATGCTGCACATCATTACTTGAATTGCAAAATCAAAATCTAGAGCACAGAAAAATTCCTGCTAGTTATCACTGTCTGAATTCTTTATCTTAGTCAGATACTAAAAATGACCACTCTCATTTCAAAAGTTATGTCACCAAACCTGAAGAAACTGAAGTTCACTTTGCAGAGAAGCCAATTTGGCTAATTTCAAGTCAATCGTCTTTTCCAGCTCCTTGATTCTCTCATCCTTCCTTCTCAGTTCAGCAGTGCTCTCGTCAATGCGGGACTCTTTCATCCAAAGAAAATGAAACCAAATTGAGCTGTTAATTAGAAGTGAACTATAAAGACAAGGAAGAAAAACAGATAAGGAGAAGGAATTTTTAATTTTCCACAATACCCAGAATATTCGTTGTTACACCTACATTAGGTCAGTATTCGCCAGGAGTTTTCTAGCTTGTTTAAAGATTTCTCAATAGGAACAGGTATAAGATTTAAACAAACTCTACTATAAGAGAACTCCTAATTTGCTTCCACAGACAAATTATTGAGTATTGAAATGAACGGGTCAAATAAGGTGAAATTGATTGAAATCACTCAATAACCTTCCAACTAGCAAAATAGCTATCTACAAAAAGACAGACGGTTAGCTTAGTGTAAAACAAGAGGTACACCAAAAGTCTAAACCCCATATAACTGGAAATGTTCCAAACAGTGACAAATAATTCTACAGTTCTTCAGCTTTCAAAGAGAAAATGAAATGCAAAGATCATAATACAAAATTTCCTAATTTTCTCTCTTAACCTTTAATCAAAACCCAAGAATTTACTCAAAATAATCCATAGAAAGAGGGGCAGAGCTAAAGGGAGGCAAGGGGTTCAATTGAATCACTTTCGCCAAAAATTTGTACTGTGCAAATAGGGAAAAATCATTTTTTTTGGTCATATATAAACTGTTGAATTACTTAGCATAAGAGAAATATGCTACATTTATAAGTAAATTGATAGTCAAACTTTCATAAGTTCAATTTTCAGGAATTCAACTTGATAGAACCAATTTATGACAGACGAGCAGTAAAATAAAAAAGAAACACAGTTCAATTGTTGAGTAAACGAAATATAACAGCATGTACAAAAATTGAGTATAGAAAAAACCTAAAAGGGAAATCTTGGAGTTGAGTTGGTCAAGTTGGAGTCTGATAGATGAATCTGAATCTGAAGCGACGTCGCTTTCTTCAACAATAATGGGTTCTGGATCAGCAGCAACTCCATTTGATGAAATTGTTAAGAAAATGTGAAGAAAGAGGAAGGAGAAAAATAGCAGTTTCAAAAACGCCATTTTTAGCAAAGTGAGACTTCTCTCTGACTTTTTCTGAGTGAAAATGCTGAGACAGTTTCTGTACTCTTGGGTTTTTTGATCTTCACGTTGGACTAGCCTAAGTTTACTATTTTACCCCTGTCTTCAATTTTTGCCACCTAAAGGAATTTCAGAAATTTTGTTTTAGGAGAAATTGCACTATTAGCCTTCAAATACTGATATTGTCTAATTTTGGTCCTTATGATATACAGTTAAGCACGTTTAACCTTTAATTAATTAAAATATGGAGTTTTGATCTCTCTATTCGTGAATCTTTCACAAAAGTCACTGAATTATATACCATTGTAGACATATAAAATTTATTGGGTATAATCCATACAAAATTTGGATTAAATTTAATTGGGTTAAATAATTAATATGGGCTTTACAAGTTAAATTAGTTTATTTTATTATTTTCGAGCCCAAGGTTCTCTTCATCTTAAGGCCCAGACTCGTACCATGTGTCAAGTGACATGGCATGTCCAGTCAAATCCAAAGCCAACAAGATGATGCCACGTGTTAAATGATGTGGCAGTCCAAGTCAAAAAGTAAGAACCAACCACAGGTCGCCAAATGACAAAAATGACATGGGCCAATCAGAATCAAGCAAGAGAGTTCATATGTAGCTAGACTATTCATCCCCTACAACTATAAATAGAGGGGTTACATAACTCTCAGAGGACAGTGAGCACGTGATTTTTGCCCTATATAAATTACTCCCATAAATTCAAAGCAAGAATGAATTTTTCCAATCATTTGCAAATTCGTAAATTTTTGTAGTTTTTTGTTTGCATTTGTCCGCGCATGTTTAATTTTATTAAATCATTGAAAAACACAAAAATACCATGCATTTGCATTTAGGATTTATTTTCACATTTTAAGATTAATTATTAAATTAAGTGCTTTATTAAAAAATAAAAATCACAAAATTGGTTTACTTTTGCATTTCTAGCCTTTTAATTATAAATCAATAATTTCTCCTTTTATTTAGAAGCAATTAATTCTTGTAAATATTATGTTAGGTTTTTAGCTTAATTTAGTAAATTAATTATTTTTAGGAGTTTTTAATTTAAGTTTTAATTAATTAAAAGAGAAAAGAAAAACAAATAAAAAAAAAGAAAAAAAAAGAAAGGAAAAGGAATGTGTTCTTTAAAAAAAACCATTTGGGCTAATACCCACAAGAAATAACCCCAAGCCCAACCCCCTTTCTTCTCATTAACCCGCCCCAACCCACCAAACCAACGCCCGAACCCGACCCGTCCCAGTTATAACGCGAATTACCCAGAAAACCTAAATCAAAAGACCCAAAAACGCAGCCACTGTTCTTATTCTCAAACACAACCAAATCAGACCCTGAATCGCCAAAAATTCAGGCGAGTGAGCCTCAATCTCACAACCATGCATTCCCTTCCTCTCTCCCCTTGCCATTTCTAACCGTTTCTGACAAATTCCTTTTCCTCTCACACAGCTTCTTTGATTTATCTCAGATTTTTCACATTTTGGATGAAAATAAGGAAAAATGGGGAGCGTTAGATTGGAGTTGAACTAATCTACTCCCTCCATTTGTCCCTCTTTCATCAAAAACTAGGTGAGAAATCTGTTTTGGGGGAGATTTCTTAGGGAGAAAGGGAGAAGGTTCAAGAAGGCTTGAAAGCCTATATAAGAGGAGCATTATTTTCAGAGAGGGGGAATTTTTTGGGAGAGGTTTGTTGAAGATAAATTGAAGAAAGGTAGTTTGCTTGATTTTTTTTTGATTTTCTTTTTATCTCAGATTCATACATATACACATAAAAAAAAATGTTGAGTGTTCTTTCGAGTTTTTGGTTTTGATTACTGTTCGAAAGGTCGAAAATATATAGATCTTCAGCTTTTTTTCGTCTTGGTTTTCTGTTTAAGAATGGAATTTGATTGAGGTTTGGGGAGTTCGTCGTTCGTCTCTCAAGTCCGTTGGTTCGAGTTCCTTTGACGATTTGTTGCTTGTTTTGCTTCAAGTCTTTCTTTGCCGTTGGAGTCGTGTACTTGTCGATTTTTGCATAGTGAACGAATTGACTTTAATAGGTTCATTCCTTTTCCTTAACTTAAATTAGATTAATATGAGTCAAGATTTAGAAAGAGTCATTTAAATATTATATGAATAAATAATGATTTCTGGGTTTGTATTTAACTTCATCTTGAATTAGTTTACTTTGTGTCATTTGTGTTTTATCCGAATTTTGTTTCCGAGCAAAGTTTCCGTCCAAGTGGGGTTCTAATTTTGTTTCTTGGCTTGAATGTTCCTTCATGTTTCTCTCTTTAATGTGAGGATGGAACTTCATTGTAGTGTTTCTTCCTAGTAAGTGGTTGAAATGATCTGCATGTGAGATTCATATTATAGCCTCTTAGCTTCAGTTTTTAACGATTTTAAGATTTCTGAGGGACATTTAGACAATTGAAGCAGTTCAGGTCATGATGAGTTTTCTTTGTTTAAATATCTCATTATGTGATTTGATTTGCTTGACTCATACCAATTTTGTTAACAACTAAAGAAGTAGAGATTTTCTCCATTTTTATTGTTTGCTGGGTTAAGTGATTACAAAGAACCATTTGAAAATAATTAAACACTTTCCGGTTCTTGGCAGTGCTAGTGGCTTGGTGATATTGAGTTTAAAATATTGTGATTCCTTCGAATGGAGCCCATTTGATTAGGAACCCGCAGGGGCAAAATCGAATATCATGATGTATCTTTAAAATTCCTAATTGAAATTTATGAGAAGAAAGTTTTATAAGTCAAATTTTATGTCTTCCTTTCAAATTTCTTTTGACCAGTTATCCCATAGCCTCAAAACTATAATCTGTTGGATGTAGCATTTCAGGATACTACGCAATATGGATATATTCTTGTATTATATGAGACTTGATTGCTATGTCAATTTTGTCAGAAATTAACAAAGCTAATAGATACGGGAGTAGGGGGCTGGTGCACGCTAGTTCAGAATCATTAAATTGTCGGGTTTTGTTTGTTGGGCCGTTGTGTAATTTGAGGTAGGGAAGGAGTCATTTATCCGTTGACTTTAATCCGCTAGCCCAATAAATTTAATATTTACATATAAACTTGTACATGCTTCCATAATGGGTAATTGCCTCATGACTTCAAAACCCAATATCGTTTGGTAATTAATATGCATAGAAAACTTTAGATGCGTTTTAAAATATAATTGTGATTGTGTACACGTTCGCGTGATATAGTTACGATTTTAAAACCAATTCGGAGTATGCGTTCGCGCAACTTCGAACAAACTTTCTTAATACTAAAATTGTTTCGATAGGCCATTAATTAAATTTAGTTCATATAGTTCGAGGTATGCCGCCCACCTTTTAATCATACATGGCCCTCGTATTAATTTCCTAAGTTAGATATAAAATGACAAATGCTCGTAGTTGCTTTAGGGCCGTTTAACTATCATGATTGCGTACACGTTCGCGTGACATGATTACAATTTTAAAAACCAAACCGGAGTATGCGTTCGCGCAATTTTGGCCAAACTTTTCTTAATAATAATCAAGCGTTATTAATTGTGGACATGTCCGCGTGACATGATTTTTGACGCGCCAAACAAATGGGTACACGTATGCATCAAGATAACTTCTTAATTAAAAAAGGCAAATACACATAGGTTCTAAAATGAGTAATTAAACAATTTAATAAGCCAATTATGATCAAAGCGACCGTGCTAGAACCTCGGAACTCGGGAATGCCTAACACCTTCTCTCGGGTTAACAGGATTCCTTACCCGGATTTTTGTGTTTGCAGACCGTAAATAAGAGTCAAATTTCCTCGATTCGGGATTTTAAACCGGTGACTTGGGATACCATAATTATCCCAAGTGGCGACTCTAAATTTTAAATAAATAATCCCATTTCGATTGTCACGTAAATTGGAAAAAACTCCCTTTACCCCCTCTCGGGGGTAGAAAAAGGAGGTGTGACAGCTCTGACGGCTCTGCTGGGGAACAGAACCCAGAATCTCTGGTTCAGGGTTCAAGAATTCGAGTTTGTTTTTATGATTTTTACTTAGCTTTATTTATTGTTAATACTACTGTATTCTGTGAACCTTTTTGTGCTAAATGTTATCTGTTTACCGCTTTAATATTATTTTAATTGTATATAACTGTCTTCTTACGCCATCCCTCTGAGTCTTCTGGAAATGGTGCATATGTTCGCGTAGCCCGCTTTTTTTGTAGAAATTATTCCAAATAGAACGAGGCTGGGGAAGCGACAAGGCCGGGTAGACTTCAATGCCCCCGATACGTCGCCCCCTCTTCGGCCCCAGTTGTCCGCTCGGGTACCCCAAGTCTAGACCAAAATCCCAGGATTCAAACCTAGAAAAACACAGCTTCATGCCGAATCCCTAATAGGAACGTTTGTTTGCATCATGTGCATTTGACTTAGGGGACTCAACACATGGGTTGGGTCCGTCTAGGGCAGGTGTGCCCCAAAATAACAGACCATCCTGATGCATTCTATGTGCTATGTGAACATTTATTTGTTTTGGCTTGCATGCTGACCGGCTAGGGAAAATAAAATAAAAGGAAAACCAAGAGTGATGTAGGGAAGGAAATAAAGCCTGGTTCTAAAGAAAAACCCCGGTATCTGAAAACATCCCGAAACTCTGCCAAAATCTTTCAAAAAAAGAGTTATTTCAAAAGAGTCAAACACTGTGTCCTTTTCAAATGTGTCAAAGCTGACCGAACTACGAAGATCTAATTCTCACCGGATGTGAGATACGTATGCAACCTACATAAAGTTCGGCCTTATTTTTGAAAATAAAAAATAAAAAAGAGAGTTAGTGGTCAAGTGAATGTAGTTTGGAGTTTTGGTCAAAATAAGTCGATCCAGCTTCGGCAATGTTTTAAACCGTTTTTGCTGAGATAGCCTTAGAGTATTTCCAGTTGTTGAAAGGCTATTTTCGTAGAAAGAACGGACAAGCTTGTGAAGTGTCATAAAATAGTCCTCCCCGGCCTCAAAATTCATATGGAATTGGGAAGGGGCCACGTTTGTAAAA